GCCTGGGACTTGTGAGGCTCTTCTCCAGGCGGGACTCCAGCAGCCTCGGGGCCTCCCGGAGCCTGGTGTGGGGGCAGCAACTCCCCCTGGTGGCAGCACGCCAGAATTGCAGGCCCAGGATTTTGAGGGGTGTCAAACCCGTGAGTTCAGGATGCCAAGCGGGCAGGTGAGGCACCAGCAGGCCTCCCTGCTCCGGGGCTCGGTCAGCACATGAGCACTCCGTGGCCTCTGCCTTAAGGACGGGCTGGCTTTGTCCTGTCCACAGGCTGGGAGGCGTGGGACTCAGCTGGTGCCCCTCTGCGCTTGCTGTGGTGGACAGGGACTCCCTGCACAGGTCCTGCGGCATTTCCCACCAGCGAGGCCCAGGTGGCGTGTACCGCGGGCACCGTGTGCCTTCGTCCTGCTCGTCTTTCCTTTTAATTCATCTTTTTAGTCGCAGATGAAGGCAATACCTTTATTAATCTCCCGTGTGCCGAGGCTCGACCCCATGCCTCCCACGTGCGAGGCCAGCGCCCCATGCCCAGCCCCCGCCACCCTGCTCTTCTTGTGGAGCGTGTGCCCTTCCAGCCGCAGTGGCCTCGCGTGCCTTGGGCAGGTGCCCCAGAGCCCACCCACACCAGGGCAAAGCGGCCCTGCACCCGGCTCTGGCCGAGGGTGCCTCTCCTTGGGGAAGATAAGCCAAACTCGTCTGCTTCCCAGAGCAGGGCGCTCTCCAGACCTGGCAGAGGGGAGAGGACGAACAGAGACCAAGGTCAGAGCTCTGCTGCGGGTGCTGCCACCCCGTGTCCCTGCAGCTTGAGAAGCCATCCCCTTGTCCAGGAAAGGGGCTCGCGTTCCCTGAGAAGGGAATCCAGCCTTGGGGACCACCGTGCCACGGCTCACCCCCAGCAAGACACCCCTACACAGGTGGAGGGAGACGGGCACGTGGACGCGGCCAGGCCTCACTGTGGGCACACGTCTCCGTAAGGGCCTCTCCAATCTGGGTGGAGTGGGGGTGACCAGTGCCCAAAGGCCCCAGAGCAGGACGGGTAGGGCAAGGAGCAGGCAGGCTTGAGCCCGGGCCTCGGGGCAGCAGGAAAGGTGACCCAGGTTCCACACGGGCAGCAGGCTAGGACGACCCGCTGCTCTCCTGGGATAGACAGGGAAGGTGTGGGAACCGCCCACTCTGGGCAGGCCCTGTGCCCTGCAGGGTCCCTGGCAGACAGGTGTGCTCCCGGCCCAAGTCGGGGCAGGGCACAGGCTGTGGGCAGCCATTTCTCCATCGGGGCCTTCCTGCCCTGGGGACAGCTTGGTGGCCCCCCATGTGCTCTGTGCCTTGTGGCAGCGCCTAAGCCACACCTGGAGGAGGTGGAGCAGATGGACACTGAGGTGTCCCCACTAGGCCTTGCTGGATGGACAGGCCAGCAGCTCTCGGCTGGCTCAGGAGACGGGAGTCCTGGCCCCGTGCACTGTGTAAGGCAAGTGTCTGTCACCGGGGCTGCCTGCAGGTGCCCGAGGGGCCACTGCACCGCCTTTTGCCAGCACAGTTGGGGCTGAGGTGAGGGGCTCCCCGAGGGTCCCCAGAGCTCACCTCTGCGTCCATCTGGTGTGAGGGGTTCAGAGGAACTTGTGGGGTGGTGACATGTGGCCCCTGCCTCTGTGCCACATGCAGAGAGGCCAACGGCAGGCCCCTCACATGTGTTCCTGCTCCCACAGAGGGACAGGCTGTGGGCACAGGGCGAGGTTCCGTGGGATCCTGGCTCTGGATGGTCAGCACGGGCTCAGCTCCGTCAGCTGCACGTCTCAAATTGAAATCAACTTCACAAACGTCCCCTGGTCTGGTTGAGGCCAGTTACCTGAAGGGTTCCTTTGTCCCCTTCCAACATTCTGAAAGTGGCTGGGGCTGCCATGCTCTCCTAATACAGCTCCTCAGGAGCAGGAGGGCCACCAGTTCAAGGCCAGCCTCAGCATCTAGCAAGACCCTGTCTCAACGTAAAAAAAGAGAAAAGGCTGGGGCCGGGGCTGAGTGGCAGAGCACTCCTGGGCCCCCTGGGCTCCATGGCAGTACCTCCAGAGAATGAGACTCTGTGGAGCCTCCAAAAGCAGCCGGCACCAAGAGAAGGACAGCAGGACCCTGGCTCAGTGGTGGCTGGGTGACCGGAGCCCCTCCTGGTGTGGAGGGTGCCTACAGGGTCCTGAGGTGGCCACGCTCATGCCCCTGCTACATGACGGGAGGCTGGGGCTCTGCAGGGCTACCACTGTGTGACAGAGGCCATTGTCCTGCCCGAGGCCCTAGCGAGGAGCAGCATGCCTGGACCTGCTCTCCCTGAGCTGCTTCATGGACAGCAGCCTGGCAGACGCCCCTGGGTGTTGGCTGGGCGTGGCGAGTGGCCTCCATGTACTCCTGATGTGGTGCCCGTGCACACCTCCCAGGACACAGGCGTCCAGCGTGGGAGGCAGTGACCTTTGGGGCCCGAGGTCCCGTCACCGCCCATCTGCTCAGGTGCGAGTCCCTGAGCACAGGTGCGAGTCCCTGAGCTGCAGGAGAGGCCACTGTTAGCAGCTCGTCTCTTTGTCCTCCCCTGAGGGTGGCATCTGTCCCTGACCTTCAGAGGGAAGGGTCCCCAGCCCACTGACCTCCCAGACCCAGGAGTGAGTGTCTGCTTCCTCAACAGCCAAGGTCACTCCAGGGCCACGTCCCACCAGACACCTGGAGAGAAACTCCGGGGAACCAGAGTTCTAGAGAATAGCTTGGGGCCGTGAGGGTCGGCGGGTGGCATGGGGGCTGCAGGATGGCACAGCTGTTCAGTGGCGCCCAGTGTTCCTTCCTCCCTCTGGCTCCCGACTCCCCATGAGAACAGAAGCTCTGTGTGCAGGGACATGGCCAGCTGGGTTAGCCTTGGCCTCCCGGCTCTCAGTGGTCACTCATGACCAAAGTACTAGGTGGATGAGTGAAAGAGCAAGACTTCCAGGCGGGAGTCCCTGTGGACGGGCTGAGTGGAGGGAACCCCAGGAGCAGGAGGTGCCGAGGTGGCTGCTGCGCCTGCCCTCAGCCAGCTCTCCATCGCCCACTCCAGCTTCTCTCCTCCTGCATTAGCTGGGTTCCTTGTTCGACTCTTAGCAAGTCCAGTGGTGGCTGGCGGTCACCAAGGGACAGGTGTCAGTACTTCTGCACGTAAATGGTCTTAAACTTGATCCTGCAAGTCTGACCCTCCTGCTTCTAGCTGGAGATAGCGTGAGGTGGGCACAGGGCAGAGCATAGGGATGACAGGTGTGGAGCCTGTTGTCCAGGTGCAGGGTGGTGGCAGGGGCAAGCAGGTGTGTACCCCACAGCACTGGACAACTGCTGCTGGACCATGTGCATGGCAGGCACCAGACACTTGCCCCGTCCACCCTTGTTGGTCTTGTGTCATCCAGGAGAGCACACGGGGGCACTGCCCCTCCTCCCCGGGCCAGGGCAGCCCCTCCACTCCTGGCACCTTGTTGATCCCCATTTTGTGCCACCTGAGGCTTCCAGAAAGGGAAAGAGGAGGAGGGGCCATGTCAGGGTCAGCGTGAGAAGCGATTAAGTGCCACAGGTCCCTTTGCTGAGAGGGTGGGCAGCCCGCCCTGGACACGCCTGTTGGTTCTGCAGGGACCTGCAGGCCATGAGAACTGCCCTAAGCCACAGGAGCGAGCACCGGGCACCCCAGAACCAGCTGTCCCTGGAAGCTGCAGAGGGCCCTGGGCCACAGCCAGGTGACCCCCCCACGGGCATTTGTCCCAGTTTCCCCCAAAGCACTCTGGCTTCCAGAAGACAGGGCCCCCGCTGTCCCTGCCCAGCACCCGCGGCCTTTGCTCCCGCCACTCAGGCCAGCTCCCTGTCTTCCTCCAGGTCAACAACGAGAATGTCGTCAAGGTCGGCCACAGGCAGGTGGTGAACATGATCCGCCAGGGAGGGAATCACCTTGTCCTTAAGGTCGTCACGGTGACCAGGAGTCTGGACCCTGAGGACACTGCCAGGAAACAAGGTACATCCCCTGCAGGGCCCTGGAAGGGACGCCCGCCCAGGTGGATGGGCCTCCCCTTCAGCCCAGTGCCTCCAGACCTGGGGGCTGAAATCTGCCCCACCCCCAGCCATGGCATTGACCAGGGTCACCTCCTAGAGTGGACTGGAACCTGCAGAGGGAGATCAAGCGCAGGCCACTGGTGGGAAGGCCAAGCCATCCTCCTAGCCAGCTCTCCCAGGGACAGCTGCGTGGGACATGGGACACCAAGTCCTGTGACAGCAGGAAGGCTGGGCTGGGGAGAGAATGCCCAGAACTGGAGGAGGGGCCGGGACAGTGGGAGGCCACCCAGCAGGGGAGGGGAAGAGCTCCAGCTGTGCACCCGGAGGGCAGACCAGCTCCTCCCAAACCCCGTCAGCTGGAGCAAGGGACCCGTGTCCCCACTGGGACAGGGTGGGTGTGGGGCCTGTGCCCAGCCTGGCAGGTGGTGGCTGAGGGCCTACGGCTGCTGCAGCCATCCTGACTGTGCTATGAGTCTCTCGCAGACCCTGGGGGACAGGGCTGTGCCTCCCTTTCTGCAGAGGTTACACCTGTCCTCCCCTCCTGGCCCACAGTGCCTCCCGGCCCACCCGAAACACCTGTGAGGTCCTGACCACTGTGGCCCAGAGTCCCTAGGACCGCAGGGCCCTGCCACATGACTCATCCTGGGCCTCAGTGACACCTGCCTGGCCTGCCCACCTATCAGCCCTCCCCACAGAACTGCAGGCCCCGGGCCTGGCCCCTGGACAGTGCCATGTCTAGGAGCAAGGAATGGAGAGGTCGGGGGGAGGGGCAGCAGGGCCTGCGGTGCTCACACCTGTCTCCGTCTGCCCATCCAGCTCCCCCACCTCCAAAGCGAGCGCCGACCACAGCCCTCACCCTGCGCTCCAAGTCCATGACCGCAGAGCTGGAGGAGCTGGGTAAGAGCCGCCCCGCCCCGCCCAGCTCTGCTGCCCGCACGCCCGCCCCTGCACGGCCCTCTGCTGGCTTGCTTCCCCTGGGGTGACATGCCCTTCCTGCCCTGCATGCCCTGGCAGCTGTGCCCCCGGCAGCTCCTCGGGAGCCCTGCAGGGTGTGGTGACCTTTTCTGTTCTCGAACACGTTCTGTCTGAGATTCTGGGGCCTTTCACTGGTGGACAACGGTAAGTGGCCGCAGGGCCCCCAGAGCAGCACGTCCACAGCAGCACCCTGCTTCTAGGGCACCCCACGGAGCCCCTGCACAGGCAGGAAGGGCCCAGACCAAGGCTGTAGCCCACGGGGACCTGCACAGATGGCTCTGCTCACCAGGCTCAGGGCAGCACCTTGGAGAGTGTCCAGGAAGCAGACGCTCTGGCCACGTGTCCCCATCTGGTAGACTGGGAAGGTGGCAATTAGCCACACGAGCCACGATGACCTGTAAACAGGTGGCCACATGGGCTGCCCAGACACTGCACACTACCTCACAGAGTTACCAGGGAGCCCAGGGACAGCTCTGGAAAGAGGGCGGCTCAAAGCCGGAGAAAGGGAGGCAGCAGTGGCAGCAGGAAGGAGGCGGCCAGGGCGGGTCTCGTGGGCAGGCGACAGACCTGGGGCAAAAGCGAGCTCCCCTCCTTGACGTCCTGCCTGGACAGTGCCTGTGACCGATGCCAGCCTTCCACCGGACACCTCCAGGCCCCCTACCAAAAGCCTAAAACAGGCACAGGCGCCCCTTCCCCGACCTTCCCTGGCGGACACCACCCACAGGCTGGGGCGCTCGGCTGCTGTCCTCCTGGGTCCAGGTGTGGAGGCTGGGGCTGGAATCTGAGGCTCAGAGGAGGCTCAGGCTCTTGGAAGGGCACAACCCACCCAGAAACCACAGCCCTCCTCTCCTCTGGCCCCGCCTTGACCTCTTGGTCCCTTCAGAACAGCCCATGCATTCCTGCGGGCGCGGGCAGGCGCCACACGGGCATGCGTGTGACCCCTGATCTGCTCTGAAAGGAGCCACGGGGCCAGGCCCTCTTCCAAGGGGTCATGTGGGGCTCCCTCCTGGACAGCAGGCGATTGGTCTTTAAAGGGGGCTGCTGCTGGTGTTGCAGCAGGACCTGCGCTGGCCCCAGGTGCCCTCTGCAGGCAGGCCTGCTCCCCAGTCCAGCACGGGGCTGTGTGCAGGGTGGGGAGGAGGCGGAAGGTGCCTTCCCCGCAGCGGCAGGGGGTGGGTTCCCAGGGAGGAAAGAGCCAGCTCTGAGGGCTGGGGAGAGGACCGCCGGCTCTCCTGCTGGGCCCCAGACCACCCTGCGCTGGGCGGGGCTTCCTGAGCTGCGTGGCTCCGTGGCTCACAGCCTCCCTTTCTGTTTGCAAGCCTCAGTGCGGAAGAAGAAGGGTAAGGGAAGTGCTTGTCTGTCTGCAGTCCTCCCGCCATCACACCCCGAAGAGAACCCCTCTGTGACCTCTGTGCGTCTAGAGTGTGCCGTGAGCCCCTGTCTTTCCTCTGTGTCGGGGCCACCCAAGGCCCCAGCCTGGACCACGTCCTGCTTGGGTCTGCTCCGTCCCCCGGCCCCTCCTGTCTGTGGCCACCCCCAGCGTGCTCTGCATTTCCTCCCTGAGCTTCTCCACATCACATGACGTGGAGCTGGCCCTCGGGTGGTCACAACCATGCCTGTCCTGGCTGGTGACTCACACTCCCTCTGAGAGCCTTGCCAGAGCCTGGCCACACTGACTGGTCAGCAGGTGCAGGCAGGAGCCCTGGCCCTAGCTCTGACCTGCCGTCCCCTTCACAGTGGGCAAAGACTGTCCCTGTCAACACTCAGTCTCCTTTGTGTGATGGGAAGGGGACTGACGGTGGGGTCTTTCAGAAAGGCTGTTGTGGGCCAGGAGGACAGGCAGACGGACAGCTGCAGTGGCGGTGAGCAGCTAGGACAAGGCCGGTGTGCACCCCAGGAGCAGAACCCAGCCCTCCTCCAGAGCATCCCCATCTAGGGAGGTACCCTGCTGGCCACCGCCCCCAGCACAGAGCAGGCAGGGAGCCAAACAGGCTGTAGGCCCTAGCATTCAGAACGCCTCTGCCCCGGGCTGGGAGGGGACCCCAGCAGGCTCCAGGCATGAGCCCCAGGCCCCACCAGAGGTAGCCTGCAGACCCTGAAGTGGGGCGGGGTGTTGGGATCCAGCAAGACCAGCTCCAGGGCAGGATGGGCACCGGGAGCAGGCTGCGCTGGCCTCTCCTGCAGCAGCCCCTACTTCACTGACCTTGCCTCCATCTAAGGCACAGCCCTGCTTCCCCTGATGGGAGGCACAGCACCCTGGGCTGCCGGGGCCTGGCCCACAGCAGAGCTGGCCAAGGGAGGACCACCATCCAGGAGAAGCCTTGGGACCCCCAGAGGCCAAGCCTCCATGGGCACCTCAGGCGGACTGTGTGGAAGACCAGAGGACAAAGGCACAGCCGGGCAGAGGGCAGACCACACAGAGGACAGGCAGGGGTCCTGGGAGGGAAGTCAGCTGAAGTGCCCCACCCCAGACAGCACAGGAGGTGGGGTGTGGCCCAGTCAGGGGGCTGAGGGACACCCCTGCTCCCACAGCCACCCAGCACAGCTCAGCCCCAGCTCCCAGCATGCCCTGGGAGCCGGGCCTCACCTGCCGAGGGCACAGCGCCCTCCAGCCCCTCAGGGAGGCCTGCCCAGCCGGCAGGGGGCACGTCCCACACCAGGAAGGCTGTGGGCCTTGAGCAGGACCCTGGCCTTCAAACTGGGCTTGAGAGTGTGTCCCCCACATCAGAGTCTCTACAAATGGGACCTTCCTTGGAAAGGAGGTCTTTCTGTGCCGGTCAGGAGGGCCCAAATCCCCAGCCCTGTCCTGGTGAGAAGAGAGCGCACGCCAGGGAATCCCAGGGCTTGCAGCAGCCACCGGGAGCTGGGGGCCAGGGAGGACACCTCGCAACAGCAAGGGGACCATGGCCCTGCCCACACCTCTGCTGTGGACGTCCTGCCTCCAGAACCAAGCAGATAAACTCCTGTCCCCTTGAGCTGCCCGGCTCACAGTCCTGATTAGCAGCCCCAGGAGACTTGTGGGACAGGGAAGCACCCTCAAATCCCATGACCTCTCGCATGCCCTGCTGCGTGACCCCCAGTTCTTCTAGGCACCTGCCCGAGGCCCCAGACACTGGCAGCTCCAGGCAACAAGGCCACCGTGGCTGGCCCTAGTGAACACACAGCAGCCCAGGGCGGCCCTGGCGGAGGCAGAGGCTGGAAGGCAGAGCGGGCTGGGGTGGGACGGACTTGCAGGATGGACGGTGACTCCCATGTTCCCAACACCTCGGGCTGCACCACAGCCTGCCTGGGAAGGAGAGGGCCAGGTCACACCTCCCGCCCCTCCCCCAGCTCTTGGGAGAGGAAGCCAGAGGCGGCCCCACAGCAGCACATGGGGTGGCTTCCCTGGGTGTCTGGAGCAGGGTCCCGGAGGAAGCCTGTGCAGTGCTGCCCACTCTTGAGATGGGCACACACCCTGCCCTGTACGGGTTAGCAAAACCTATGCCCAGGGCCACACAGCAGGGGACAGTGGCCCTGGACAGATGGCCCCCAGGCCACCCAGGCCCCAGGAAACAGTGGTGTACCCATTGCTAGAGGGGCTAATGCACCTGTAGAACTCAGACACTTCCAGAACACCTGGTCCTGTCCTCCCCAAGAGCATCCTGAGGAACAAGGGGACATGGGTGCCCGCTCTGAATGGCCTGGGCCTGGAGCTCTGGCTGCAGTACCACCTGGCATGTGGCCACAGGACAAGATGGAGTTGCCCTGAGGGGGTCCCCAGCAGGTTCTTGTAGCCAAACAGCCCCCTGTGGCACCAGGCTCCCCTGTCTGCCAAGGCCATGAGGGTCCCTACTCCATGGGAATGGGGACATCCTCCTGCAAAGCCAGCCTTGTCTGGCTCACTAGGCACAAGGAGAGCAGCATGTGCCCACATCTGGGCACAGTCTTTCTGCACCCGCTCTGTCCACCTGAGACCCAGGTACTCACAGGCTGGGGGACAGGTGGGCGGGGGGCGCTGCATCTCTGAGAAACACCCAGAACGTCTGAAAAGCCTGCCCAGAGCCCGCTGCCCAGGGCCCAGTTTGCGACCCCTGCCCAAGGCGTCTGTCTTGTAAGGAGGGTGTCAGCTTGCCTGGAGGGTCAGAGCCCAGGGAGGACTGTTCCCAGTCACTAAGCACTCCACTCTAGCACTGCAGGGGGCCAGCCCACTCACCTCCCCGTCCAGGCTCTGAACAGATGGCCTGGGCTTTGTGAATCAAGCCTGACCCTCAGGGCCCCAGTGAGAGGAGGAAGCCATTATGTACCTTTGTGTCCTGGTAAACAAGTTCTGAAGGGTGGGGCTGAGTGGAAAAAGGTGAATCCTGTCCAGTATCAAAGAAATTAGCCCCAAACGAACTCTCACCATGACACTAGCTCTATCTCTAGCCCTAACCCTAACAAACCATCTTGCCCTCATGGTTCTGTGGGTCTCAGGTGGAGTGGGAAGGGCAAAGGTCAAGGTGGCCCCAGCTTCAAGAGACACTCCTCCTGTGGCAGGAGCACACCAGCTCTCTGGGTGTGACTGGTGAAGATGGTGCCCACCAATGCCCACCACCCTGCTCCCTAGCCCACCAGGCAAGGCAGGCGACCTGGCAGCAGCCCTAGCAATCCCCAAGAGTGTGTCCTGCTGCCATGGACCCCAAAGCTAGACGCCCCTGTCCAGATGGCTGGCAGGACTGGTGACCCTCGCCGGAGCTCAAGTGCACCTGGCCTCCCGGTCCCGACCTGTGTTACCCTAAGTGTCTCAGGCCCTCGGGTGGTTTTCCTGTAGAATGGGCTAATCTCTCCCCTGGCAGAACTGGGAGGAAGGCCTCTCTCCCCTCCGGGGCCTGGCACTGTGGGTGAGGACAAGGCCCCTCTGGCTAACCCTGGGTACCCACCATTTGCAGAAAGCTTGGGGGTTCTTGCGCTGGCCCCGTGGCCTCGGAACAAGACCTGCCGCCCACTCCTTCTGAGCACAGAACACTCCTGGGGCACTCTGAGGTTCAGGGCAACAGGCCGGCGCGCGGGTGGGAGCAGGCCCACCCCATCAGCACCCAGGAAGCAGACCTTGGCTTCTGGAAGGGGCCAGCCCTGGACAGGGCTTCTTGGGACTCCATGGCTCAACTCTCAGCCATAGGAGAGCTGCCCCTCCCGAGTCCTCCACCCCAGGGTGCCCAGACACGGTCCCCAGCACATCAGACCCTGGCCACCAGCCTTTTCTTGCAGAGTCCCCACCAGGGCCTTCAGCAAGGGCCACAGCCCTCTGCACCTTAGGTCCAGCCTCTCTGAGTGCTCAGAGCCCCACTGTAACTGCCAGCCACTGAGTTCATCAGCGCCCAAAGGCCAGGCCAGTGCTCCCTGGACCTCCCCCACGTCAGCCTGCCAAGTCGAGGCCCAAGCAAGGTAGCCAGCAGCCGGCAGGGCGCCCTGTGCACAGTCAGAGGCAGCGGGGCTAGGCGGGTGCACTGGAGCTACACCTGAAGCGCCCCACAGTCCCCTGGGCTGAAGTCCTTCTCCTGGAACTCGGCAGCAAAGACCCAGGGCTGCTGTGTCCCCCAGGCCACACCCTTGGTGGGCGGCAGAAAAGGAGCCAGGGCTAGCACTTCAAGAACTGCTGGTTCTCAGAGCAACTCTGGTTGTCCCACTCACTGCAGTGGTGGCACGGAGCACCCCAGGGCTGGACAGGCCTCGGTCCCCTTCCTTGGAGAAAGATACTCTGGGGCAACAAGCAGCCACCCTCATCCAAGGCCAAGCCAAGCAGCCGAGAGGCCAACCTGCAGGCACAGACCAGCGGGCCCCATGCATCCTGGCTGGCTCTCCAAAGCAGGCCACCCGGGCCTCACCTGAGCCTGCCTCAGAGGGACAAGAGAACCTGCAGTGTCGGGGTACAGACACTGGCAGGAGGATCCGGGCCCAGGAGCAGGGGATGAGGGCCTCGGTACAGGGGAGGGTGGCAGAACTCAGGGTGAGGACTCAGCTGATTGCAAGCCAAGGCACCCCACTGCCATTAGGAACGAGAGTTGGGCGTTCCCCCCGTCCTGCCCAGCCCCTGAGGGGCAGGTGCTCACCACACACCAGGGTAGGTGCCTGCTCCCGGGGAGGGGAGCCCGCAGAACAGGAGAACCTGGGAGCGGCCACCTCATCAGGAGGGGCAGGAGGACGGTCGGGCCTCCACACTCCCTGGCACCTTGCGACCCACTCCACTTCCTGCTGGCCAGAGAGCTAGCGTGGGGTGCAGACCGGGCTTGCAGACACCTCGGCAAGCCAGGCCGTCCCCGCCTCACCTTCCGTCCCCGCCTCACCTTCCGTCCCCGCCTCACCTTCCGTCCCTGCTTCACCTTCCGTCCCTGCCTGTCTCACCTTCTGTCCCAGCCTCACCTTCCGTCCCTGCCTGTCTCACCTTCCGTCCCTGCCTGTCTCACCTTCTGTCCCTGCCTGTCTCACCTTCCGTCCCTGCCTCACCTTCCGTCCCTGCCTGTCTCACCTTCCGTCCCTGCCTGTCTCACCTTCCGTCCCTGTCTCACCTTCCGTCCCTGTCACCATTCTTCCACTTCTTTCCTTCCTCTCTGGGTAACTCTTTATACATGTGGAACTGCTCTGAGGTCAAGGGCAGGACTGGGCCTGCAGCCGGCCCCCTTGAACCCTGGAATCTCGTGCCGGGACTGGAATCAAGCCTCTTCCACGGTGTCAGGGTCTCACGTCGGCTGCTCTGCGCGTTGCGGACGTTCCCACGACCCCTTCCCTCTACACCTGCTCATGGGACTTGGGCGGCCCTTCAGAAGGCCATGCTCTCGTACCGGGTGACTGGGTGGCAGTGCAGCTCCAGGGACTGGGTGGTGGGCCAGTTTCAAGAAGAAACCAGAATGTTCTACTGTGGAAAGAATGAGTGGGAACTTCCTGTGCAGAAAGTATCACAGTGGGGACTCCTGGGTGTCCCACCAACTTCCTGAACACACTGTCGAAGTTCCAGCCTTGGGGATAGGGCCCTTGTCTTGAAAAATGCACTTAGTTGCCCAAAGAACCACACTTCGGAGTGTCTTTGAAATTCTAGCAGTCAGTTAACACGGCCCAAAACAGATCCCAGAAGTGAGGATGCAGCCTCCTCAGGAAACCCAGAGCCTGAGGTGCTGTGGTCTACTTCGCCACCTGTCCAGTGCACCCCTGGGGAGGCCGTGTGGGCGCTGAGGGGGGTGCACGGGGCAGGGAGCGATGCATGGCCGAGTCCCCTCGCTGCTGCACCCTGCCTCCTCCCCACCCAGCCCTGCCCTCCTGCCTGTGCTTGGCCCCTCCAACCTCACCTTGTGTTGCAGATAAACCAGAGGAGACGGTCCCGGCCCCCAAGCCCTCCCGCACGGCTGAGAGCATGGCCATGGAGACCAGAGTGGCCACCATCAAACAGCGGCCCACCAGCAGGTGCTTCCCAGCAGCCTCAGACATGAACGTGAGTGACTGTCCCCAGGACGAGGGCTGGCGGTCTAGAGGCACACAGAAGCAGGGGTCAGTGCAGTGCAGAGGACCTCCCGGGCGTGCAGACCATGCCCCTGCCCTGCCCTGCCCTGCCACAGGGGCCTCAGCACTGGCACTCGGCCCCCAGCCTCGAGGGCGTCCCCCCATGTGCCAGCTGAGGACTACTGAGCTGTGGCCAGAGGCCCTCAGGAGTGCTCCTCAGACACAGCCACTCTGGAGTGGAAGGAGCCTCTGGCCAGCACTGCACAGAGGTCCATCCTCTGGTGGACACTGAGGATGGACGACACCCTCAGCACAGGGCCGTACCTGACTCGCCTCGGCCCCGCCGCGGGCCAGAAGCACTCCTGCTGGCTCAGGGAGCAGCGGCCAGGCCGCGAGGCAGGGCTTCTCCATACCCGCTGCGCCAGGCCAGGCAGTGCCGCCGGGGCGGGGCCGGGGCCGCGGCTCGCTGGCTTCAGTGTCCCCCGCCTGGCCCCGCTCTGAGCATGCCCTTTACTACTGTGTGGCTTAGTATTCTCGGGATTCCGCTAGCCACCACAACGGCCCCCCAACTCCCCAAGCCTGCTGCGTGAGCTCTGCCGAGCCCTGGAACAAACGCCACCAAGGACGGGGGTCCAGAGTGCTCAGCCCCAGGCTCACCTCCCGAGCTGCTGGGCCACCCGGTGTCCCTGCCGTGCCGACACGCCCCACCCTGTCCCCCACACCCTCCCCCCTGCCCTGTGGGACAGCAGGCCCTGGCCTCCCTTCCCCAACCTCAGGGCGGGCTACAGAGCGAGATGGGCGGGGCGCGGCCGTCCTCGGGTGCCCCTGGGCGTGCACATCTGGCCGGGGCAGCAGGCTCAGCCTGGCACGCAGCCCTGGGAGGACCTGTGGAGGGGCGGGTGGAGGCCACCTGGAACTCGGCCTCGAGGTGGAGGAGGGGAGCTCTGGGCTCCTCCTAGAGCAGGCCTGGGGGTGGGGGGCGAGGCGGGGCCAGCCCTGGCCACAGGCGGGTAGGCGGCTACAGGGCCGTCCTGCTTGCCAGACAGCGCCCACGCCTGGTCCCCTTCACACGTGCTGCGGGGCCAGCATTAGCCCACTGTACAGAGGAGGACTACAGAGGCCCTGCTGGAGGATGTGGCCAAGGCCACAGGGTACAGCCCACATCACACCCCACTGCCACTATGCTCATTCTCACAGGACACCTGACCTGGCTCCACTCCACAGAGCCTTGTCCAGCTGCTCTGGTGCAGGGTGTCCCTAGAGCAGCACGTGCCTGCATCCCACACTGTTGGAGCTGTCGGAGAGGCAGAGGGGCTGCCCGGTCTCCACGCAGCCCCCGGCACCCTGGAACCACCTGGGCCTGTGGCGGTGCAGGGACCTCCTTGCTGCCCTCTGGTTGAGACCAGCCAGGACGTGTCTCACCCAGCTTTCTGGTTTGCAGTCCGTGTACGAGCGCCAGGGGATTGCTGTGATGACACCCACAGTTCCCGGGAGCCCGAAAGGCCCGTTCCTGGGCCTCCCCCGAGGTACGATGCGAAGGCAGAAATCCATAGGTAAGAAGCACTACCTAACCCAAAGAAGGGGCCCTTGGGAGGTCTGTCCCCGGGCCAGGCTGTCTAGCTGCTCCCCAGGCCTGCCCCGGGGGGGTGCCCAGGTCCCCCACCAGGCAGCCCCTGAACAGCGCAGAGCAGGAAGCCCTCCCGCCCCTGCAGACAAGCAGTGCGGCTATGGTCTCTGGTCTGACGGCTACTTGTAACAGTGGGGTGAAAGGGCCACCAGCCAGGAGGAAAGGCGGGGCCCGTGGGAAGGGCAAGTGGACCCTGTGTCCTTGTTTGTGGAACAAGCTCACGGGACATGTTCCTCCGGGAGGCTGGTCAGCTCTCCAATGGCAAGGACGGCACGCTGTCCTGGAGAGCAGCTCCCTCCGCCGGGGCCATCCCAGTTGCTGCCTCGACTCTGACCGGCAGGGAGACTCTGACCCGGGACGCAGTCCCTTTGGGAGAGAATGCAGCCCTGTCCTTGCCCTGTAAACTGCTAGAAGCCAAGGCCACTGCTGCACATGGAGGGCCTGCCACATACACAGGGTGAAAGCGTCCACCCCAGCGTCCGGCTGCCCCGGGGACCCAGCTCTGGTTCTGGAGTTCTGGGGCTGTAGTGTGAAGAGGAGGCGGCGGGCGGTGACAAGGGGGTGGCGGCTGCTCCTGAGCCCGCCCTCCGCAGAGCTGCCCACACCCGCGGTGTCTCTGATCCTTACTGGTTGATAACGACTGATTTCCTCCCTGTCAGACAGCAGAATCTTTCTATCAGGTTAGTGGATGCCTCCACCTTGAAATCTGCCCTTTGTATAAGGTGACTCCACGGAACACAGCTGCCAGGCGTCAGCATGCAGCCAAGGCCACTGAGAGGCGGCCGGCACCGACCTTGCAGGCCACGGCCTTCCCACGGGAGTGGGTGCCGTTTGGAACACCCGTATCAAGTCAAGTTTCCACTGGAGTCAATGATTTGTCCTGGGAACTTTTCTAAATTCCGAGTAGTGCACTTTGCTGCCCTAGAACCCTGCCTGCCCGACGCACAGCTGTGGTCCCTGGGTCTGTGGTGTGTGTGGCTTGTGTTCCTGTGCTCGTGCCTTGTGCTGTGCTCCAGTAGTCACCCCAGTCACCATGCAGAGCATGCTCCAGGTGCACCGCGGTGTCCCCAGGGGCGCAGTCACAGCCCACTCACTTTCAGTACCCACGAGCTTGGACAGTTGTCTCAGAACGTGGCTTTGAGCTTGTGCCTGGCCAACGCACCTGGGCCCCGGCTGAACATGAGAACCTGCCTCCGCCCTCCACCCCGCTGCAGAGAGTCCTAGACAGGCCAGTGCGGAGCCTCTGGGCTGAGCCCCGACAGCGCCCTCGGCCCCTGCCTAGTGCCTGCTCAGGAGCCTGTGGCCATGTGGGTTGGAGTCTTTGGTTTGAGGAGGGCTCCCTCCCTCATGGCAGTTCCAGAGCCAAAATGGCCCTACCTCTGGCCAGCCCACTCACAGCCATCCTGCAGGGGACCCAGGGGCTGGCTGTGCACAGCCCTCTGTGCGGGGCCTCCATCTCCCCAAGGCCATCACAGTAATGCCACAACCCCTGTCAGCCCAGTGGGACCACCAGGGACACAGCTCTGCTGCTGGCAGAGGGTCTGCCACACACAGGGGCAGCAACCACAGGGCTCACATGCCAGCTGACCAGCAGCAGCAGCTTTAGCACTGCCCACCCACACCAGTGGGCAGACACAGTGGCACCTACTACCCTCAGGCCCCAGAAGGTGGGTGACAGCTGCAGACCCCAGGGCCAGGCCACACCCAAAAGGGTCAGGGACAGAGGAGGGTCCGGCTGGTGTGGCCATCTGAGAGGAGGCGTTGGCGACCCAGGCGTGGCCTAAAAAGCCACACGCCCGCCTCTGGGCCCGCCCTGGCCTCCCGGGCCCCACAGTGTACCTGGAGAAGGGCTCCTGCACGTGCCCCCCACGCCCGCTTTTCTTTCTTTTTGTGGCCCAGAGTGGGCTGCACAGCGAGCTCTGGCGCTGCGGCCTGTACCGTGTGCCGTGCCGGGTGGCGCGCGCGGCTGCATGACTGAGACCCGCAGTGGGCTGGGCCGCAGCTGGGATGCCAAGCTAAACCCGCTTTCTGCTCGCAGGAATAACAGAGGAAGAGCGGCAGTTCCTGGCCCCTCCGATGCTGAAGTTCACCAGAAGCCTGTCCATGCCGGACACGTCCGAGGACATCCCCCCTCCACCGCAGTCTGTGCCCCCGTCTCCACCTCCCCCCTCCCCCACTGCCTACAACTGCCCCAAGTCCCCAACTCCGAGAGTCTACGGGACCATCAAGCCTGCGTTCAGTCAGAATCCTGCTGCCAAGGTGTCCCCCGCCACCAGGTCTGACACAGTGGCCACCATGATGAGGGAGAAGGGCATGTTCTACAGACGAGAGCTGGACCGCTACTCCCTGGACTCCGAGGACCTCTGCAGCCGGAGCGCGGCCCCCCAGGCCACCTTCCGCAGCAAGCGGGGCCAGATGCCCGAGAACCCGTACTCGGAGGTGGGCAGGATCGCGAGCAAGGCCGTCTACGTGCCGGCCAAGCCCGCCCGGCGGAAGGGCGTGCTGGTGAAGCAGTCCAACGTGGAGGACAGCCCCGAGAAGACGTGCTCCATCCCCATCCCCACCATCATCGTCAAGGAGCCCTCCACCAGCAGCAGCGGCAAGAGCAGCCAGGGCAGCAGCGTGGAGATCGAGCCCCCGGCCGAGCAGCCCGGCCAGCTGCGGCCCGAGGACGGCCTGGCCTCCAGCAGCCCCTTTGCCGCAGCCATTGCGGGGGCTGTGCGTGACCGGGAGAAGCGGCTGGAGGCCAGGAGGAACTCCCCAGCCTTCCTCTCCACGGACCTGGGGGATGAGGACGTGGGCCTGGGGCCGCCTGCCCCCCGGATGCGGCCCTCCAAGTTCCCGGAGGAGGGTGGGTTTGGCGATGAGGACAGTGCAGAGCTGCTGGTGTCGCCCACGCCGGTGGCAGCGCCAAGAGAGCCCGAGAACCATTTTGTGGTCGGTGGCGAGGCCGGTGCTCAGGGTGAGGCCGGGAGGCCCCTGAATCCCGCATCCAAAGCCAAGGGGCCCGAGGGCAGCCCAGCGGCACCCCCCAAGAGCAGCAACGCCGTCAGCCCAGAGAACTATGTCCACCCGCTCACCGGGCGCCTGCTGGATCCCAGCTCCCCACTGGCCCTGGCACTCTCCGCAAGGGACCGAGCCATGAAGGAGTCCCAACAGGGGACCAAGGGGGAGGCCCCCAAGGCTGACCTCAACAAGCCTCTCTATATTGATACCAAAATGCGGCCCAGTGGGGACGCTGGCTTCCCTCCCGTCACCAGGCAGAACACCCGGGGGCCCCTGCGCCGGCAGGAGACGGAGAACAAGTACGAGACAGACCTGGGCAAGGACCGGAGAGGCGGGGACAAGAACATGCTGATCAGCATCGTGGACACGGCCCAGCAGAAGTCGGCCGGCCTGCTGATGGTGCACACTGTGGACGCTGCCCAGCTGGGCGGTCCCCTGGAGGAGGAGGAAGAGAGAGAGGACATGGACGTGCCGCTAGACCACCCGTCCTCCGCGGTGCCAGAAGGTGTTTCCGACACCGAAGGTGCTTTACAGATCTCCGTCACCCCCGAGCCCGCCACCACGCCCGGCAGGACCATTGTGGCCGCGGGCTCCATGGAGGAGACGGTGGTCTTGCCATTCCGCATCCCTCCCCCGCCCCTGGCATCCGTGGACTTGGATGAGGATTTTGTTTTTACAGAGCCATTGCCTCCTCCCCTGGAATTTGCAAATAGTTTTGATATTCCCGATGACCGCGCTGCTGCTGTCCCCGCTCTCACCGACTCGGTCAAGCAGAAGAAAACCGATACCCCTCCGTCCCCCTCGTTGAACTCCAGCCAGCCAGCCAACCCTGCGGACACCAAGAAGCCAGCCGGCCTTTCCAACTGCCTGCCCGCCTCCTTCCTGCCACCTCCTGAGAGCTTCGACACGGTCGCCGACTCTGGGATCGAGGAGGTGGACAGCCGCAGTAGCAGTGACCACCATCTCGAGACGACCAGCACCATCTCCACGGTGTCCAGCATCTCCACCCTGTCCTCTGAGGGCGGGGAGGGCGTGGACACCTGCACAGTCTATGCAGACGGGCAAGCGTTCGTGGTCGACAAGCCCCCCGTACCTCCAAAGCCAAAAATGAAGCCCATCATTCACAAAAGCAATGCACTTTATCAGGACGCGCTCCTGGAGGAAGACGCGGACAGCTTCGTCATTCCCCCGCCTGCGCCCCCGCCCCCACCGGGCAGCGCCCAGCCTGGGCTGGCCAAGATCGTCCAGCCAAGGACCTCCAAGTTGTGGGGTGATGTCACGGAGGTCAAAAGCCCGATTCTCTCAGGCCCAAAGGCGAACGTTATTAGCGAATTGAACTCAATCCTGCAGCAAATGAACCGAGAGAAATCGGCAAAGCCGGGGGAAGGACTGGACTCGCCGGCAGGGGTCAAGTCCGCCAGCCTTGCTCCAAGGTAAGTTCACAGTTGGCTTGGGCACACACTGTCCAGTGCTGCCCACGAAAGCCCTGAGGGAGAACCCAAGAGGATGAGAAGAGGGATCCCTAACCCTGTGATGGCCACATTGTCGGCCGTAACCGCGTGTCACCCTCCAGACTCTGGGACGGCAGAGTCAAAGCCGCAGCTGTCCTGGCAGGAGACAGCGCTCCCTCCTCAAGACTCCTAATGAGATGAAGGGGACAAAGCCCCCCGCCCTGGCCTCCGAGATGACCTTTGCCGGGACCGCTGCGAGGGCAGGTGGAGGCTCGCTGAGCCCAGGTGGAGGTCAGAGCTGCCTGACAAGAGCAGCCGCGGCAGCGGCCTTAGCGAGGGGCGGCGAGGGGGGTTGAGGGGTGGCGGGGCGTGTCTGGACACAGGCGTGTGGGCTCTTACCTCTCCCTCCATGGCGCGTGGGGGGCGGCTGAGAGGTGCCACCCAGGGCAAAGGTCACGAAGGAAAAGCCCCACTGGCCCAGCTGCCCCTCACGCGTCCCACGGGGGCTGAGGTGACAGAGGAGCCAGCAGGCGGCCCTGGGTGGAGGTAACAGCTAGCTGTCGGCCCAGGCAGGGTGCCCAGGCTCCTGTGCTGACTGAGGAAGTCCTTCGCAGGCCCTGCCCAGGGCCATCCCTGGGGCCGCATTCGCTCGCAGTGACTGGGATCTGCAGCTGGGGCTCCCACTGCTCTCGGGAGGGTCGGCCAACCCCAGGGTGGGCGCATTTGTCGCCACTGCTCCTGGGCCTCCGCCGCCAGCGACATCAGTGAGCACCTCCAGGTGGAGGGATCCTCGCGGCTGCACCTCCGGGCTCCGCTGCTCTTGGACAAGGTGCGCGCGCACACAGGCGGAGCCTTGGGATAGCGGAACAGCGCCAGCCCATCCTTCCCGGGAGGTGACACCCAGGTGCTCTCTGCTTTTTCCTTCTGACACCGGAGGTCAAACGCAGGGGTCACCTATACCAGGTGGCCCTCCAAGAGCTCCCTCTCCAGCCACAGTAGGCTCTTTATTTTCTGTCACTGCATCCTGTGACAGAGCCACCAGAAGACCACATCTCACTGCTCCGCGTCCTTGAGAAGCTCTCGGGTGGACGGTGTGGAGGACAGCCGAGGGCAGGAGCCCAGGTGCAGCCGGCTCTCCCGAGGGCTGAGTGGCTTGCCAGTGCTGGGCCTGCAGGAGCCAGAGCAGGACGCAGACAGGAGGGTGCCAAGAGGGAAGCAGCTCCCCTGAGCCACGGTCTCCGGTATGTCCACCAGGGGAGCCCAGGGACTACAGCCCCAGAGGCCGCCAAGCACCTGCTGCCCGCCTGCTCCAGTCCCTGTAGGAGGGACAAGAATGGCTTGCTCCCAGCCAAGTGGGACTCCACCCTGCTTTGACTCTAGGGCCTTCCTGTCTTTGCCCAGGTGGACACTGGGCAAGGAGGGGCCTTGCTGACGAGACCTCGGCCTGCTCTGTGAAGCAGCTGCCTGACGCCGGGTGCAGTCCCACCTGCAGGCCTGTGGTCACTCCCGCTTCACAGCCAAGGAAACAGCCAGGGCCGTGGAGCTCGGTCCCCCTCCCAGTGGGCTGCCCAGTCTGACCCCTGACCTCCTGCAGGAGCCAGGGGCTTCACCAAGCAGAGGGCCAGAGGGCTAGTGGGCAAATGCGGGCCGAGGCTATCTAGGCCACAGGCTGTGCCCAGCTTGGACTCTCCAGGCAGGCGGTCACCAGGCGGCCCAGGGCGTGTGCAGTCCTTCCCACTCCCAGCCGAGGGCCGCCCTAGGCGCTGATGAGGTGGGGGAGGCCACGCTCAGGCGCTCGCTGCAGCACTCCGACCAGCTCTCAGGAGTGCCAGCACAAGCTCTCCAAGGGACGAGGTCGGGACAGCAGTCCCCGTCACCACCAGTAGGTCTTGGGGTGGCCGGGGCCTCGCTGCCCCTGGCCCTGGGTGCCCGCCTCTGCCAGCTGGCTAACAGGCCTGGGCTTTACCCATGGGGTGGCACACAGGCCACCATCCTCAAATGCATCCAGAAATCAAGAGCTATGAATGGCCCTGAGCAAAATGAGGCTCGGAATTGGGTGGAGAAGCGCCTCCAGAGGAACACGGGCGAGTGTTTCTGGAAAACAGAGCGGGCTTCTGAAATGGCAGGCAGCACGGGCACAGCCAGGAGAGGGCGCCAGCAGAGAGGGCCACTGCCCGCACACTGTGGGCAGAAGCTGCCCTGATCTGTCCACTGCTCCTGGAATCTTGCCTGAGAGCTCTGCGGTGAGACCACCCCTTGCGCATCTTGCTAGACCCCAGCACAGGGTCCAGGGATGGTGGGTGTGGTGAAATGCCCGCCTCTTTCCCGGGTACGTCTGACCTAACCTGAGCCAAGACTGAGCCTCTGCTGTTCCCTGAGGCCAGAGTGATGTGGAATCTGGAGACACCTGGACTACGAGTGTGTTGCTGCCAAAAGGAAGCCATCGGGAAGTGTCCTTTAGGACAGCATTGGGTGAGAAAACCCTGGCCAGAGATGCCTTCCAAGACAGGAGCCACCGGGCAGTTCCCAACCACCAGCCTGATTGTGCCAGGGAAGAAATCTCATCTCTGGGCACAGTAGGTCCAAGCGGAGAAGGCACAGGAGTGGGGGGCTCCCCCAGAAGCCACTGCCATGGCTCCCCAGGACTACTGGCATGGGGCCTGAGGACCCAGAAGGTGTGTAGGTGCTGGCCTGCACCCTGCTTTTCACCGTTTGTGACCCTGGGTGACATCTCAGTGCACCTGATTTCCACTACACTGAAAGTGTGACCTGAGTGGTGTTCTTGTCACCTTGCAGACCCAGGAGGAGAGGGCTCAGGGTCTTGGTTAAAGTCACATGCTGGGGACAGATAAGCTACCCAAAAGCAGACCTGGAAGATGGGCTGGACCCAGTTTGAGGCTCAGAACCACAGGATGGCCCACAGTGTCCTGAGCCCATGGATCAGCCATGTTGCTGAGCCCAAGAGACACCAGGCCTGGGGTGGAGAGAGACGAGGAGCGCACCAGGGGGGCTGGGGCTCTTCAAACGGACAGCAGACCTGGCCAGCAGCAGCAGCAACTGCAACTGGTGCCCACGTGTGCCGGGCACCATGCTGAGCCTGGGCTTGTCACTGGTCAGGAAAGCACGCGAGGCCTCTCTTTCTTGGAGGAGCTCGAATTCCCAGAGGAAACCACCAATACATGCTGAACAAGAGACCAAGTGGACAGACGCAGCAAGGAGCCATGGTTTGCTGGCTGAGCGGCCTGGACAGAGGAGCCACCACTCAGGGAGTGACACTGGAAAGACACAGAGGAGCCACAGTCAGAAACCGAAGCAGAGCTCAGGTGGGGATGGCAAGGCACGGGGCGAGCACAGCACCCAGGCCAGCGAAAGTGTTCTCCATGTCAGGAGACCAGGCCAGGAGGGAGGGCAGGTGGCCCATGGGCTGGCAGCCACCCCAGGGCTCAGCAACACAGGTGTGACTCCACTTTTGCTTCCTAAAGACACAGAGGCTGCTGCATGGCCAGGGGCAGGGGCCTGCACAGCGACACAGGGCTGGAGGCTGCTGTGGGGGTCCAGGCCTGAAGCAGGACCACAGGGTGATTTGAGAGGTATGCCAGGAACCTGGAGAGCCAGCACAGCCTGCCCAGGCGTCAGCCTTACCAGTGACCCCAGGGTCCTCACGGCCAGATAAGCCTGCCCTCCGTTGGCACATCAGGAAAGGTCAGGAGAGGCGACGAGGGGCCTCGGGGTCCCTGTGATTCCACCAGAGGGCGGGGCTCAAGCTGGGTGCCCTCTGGACAACCAGCCCTTCGTGGTGTGTGCAGAGGGATGTCTAGGTTGGCTGTCACCTACTGCGGTAGGGATGGGCTCAGGGAGAGTCATCCCATGGGAGTGAGGTCCCCAAGACCCCTGGGCAGGTTCCAGCTGCCCAGGGAACGAGTTTGGGCCAGCTCTTGGAAAAGCCACCTCCAGCCCCACTGTCCTTCCGAAGGTCCCCACAGTACAGCATCTGCCCCCTTGCCTGTTCCTCAGCAGTCACAGCTCCGTGTTACCCTGACTGGATTTTAACCTGAGTCGAGATGGCTGTTAAAAACTCTCTGTGCCTGGCTGGAGGCAGAGCCCCCTCCCTGGAAGCCACATGGAAGCCGCTAATAGGGGCTACAACCTCAGTTCCACTACGGGGGCCTTCATGACCCCCAGCACCAAGTGACTGGGAAGGCCATGTCAGCAAGTGGCACTGTAGGTGGTCTGGTGAGTGGCACCGGAGAGGTCCTGGAATGTGTAGCAAGGGGAAGCTCTGTCCCAGGGGCACCTGACCCCTGCTCGTCAGGTGGTCAGGTGCCAGGCTGAGTCTCCTTCTGTCCTGGGCCAGGCCCTGGGGACTGAAGATAGAGCAGGTCCTGGCAGTGCCCTGGGTGATGGTGGCATCTGGAGTGGGGAACTGCTGATGGTTCCGGGGGAGGCATTGTCTTGGGCGACCCCCAAGGCTCAGGCCCAGGGCAGATGGTACCCCCAGTTCCCTCTTCAGTGCCCTACACGTGCAGAAGCTAGAGAGTGTAACTCAGGGACAGGGCAGTTTGGAAGGAGGCGCCCACTCAGGGCTCATCTCCAAAGCCACACAGTGAGTCACACAGGGTGCTTGGGCTCAGGAAGGATTTGGGGCTCTGGCACCTGCCTGGCCTGTGAAGGGCAGATGGGCCTGGGGAGCCGCCGTCAATGCGCAGCCTCTGGCCGCCAGGGCTGAGTCTGCAAACATGGTGAGAAGGCGCCTGCAGGCTCACCTCGTGAGCACCTCCATAATCATGTCTTGCCCGTGGAACGTCCCACTTAACTCCTGGGCTGTTTTCTTTTTTTTTTTAAGTCTCATGTTTCCATATGGATTTGATTTAAAAGGCAGACTAGAGAGTGATCATCCAAGAGAGGGGGTGTGTGAGTGTCATTCTAAATCAGGGCAACAGATTCCTGTGTGTTCCGCCGCAACCCAGCGGTTGCTTAGCAACATAATGATCCCGCCGCAGGAGGATCCAGGGAATCATGCCGGGTGGTGAACCCAGGGAATCGCTGCTGAGGAGGTGGGGGTGGGCCAGCCGGGCCCTCTGCTGTTAGCCATGCTGGGCAGGGGCACTGGCCTGGTTAGCCTGGCTGGCTGACATCCCGTGGTAAGACGGCAAAGCCCTGGTCCTGGTGGGGTGGCATTCCCCGCCACGCACCTGGACGATGCGTCCTGAGCTGTGGAAGGGAAAACACCAACCGGGAGCCAGGGCTGGAACCAGAGCTGGAGAACCGGCAGCAGGCTCATCCCTAGAAGGCACCAGACAGAGGAAGGCACCCTTTGGTGCCACCCTCCAGCCTGTGTTCTCCTGAGTCGAGGAGGCCGTGGAAGGCAGGCCTGCGCTGGGCGGCCAGCCAGGCAGGC